TCAATCACCAATTTATGCAGCTACTTTCATTGAGCTACCTCTAAGATGACACAACCAACTTGCAAGAATTAATCTTAAATTAACTATTTTAGTTTTTCTCATTTCATTGTTTTTCTTTGAAAGCTTAAGATCAAGGAATTATTGTTAATAATGCAAGTCTGCTATGTGTTTTGTAGGCAATGAAAGCAGCAGAAAGGGTGACTCAAGAATCTACATAGAATCTCTCATGTATCATTGTTTAGAATAGTTGAATGTGATGATTTACGGGTGTGTTTGGTATGACGGAAAATGTTTTCCCATTTTTCACTGTTTGGTTGCACAAAATAGTTTGGAAAATATTTTTCTAGATATTACATTTTTCTGAAATCGGAGAAAAATGACTTCCCTAGAAAAAGTTAGGAAAACATTTTCTAAAAACTACACCTACCCTCACATCTAACCCCAAACGCTTCCAACTTCAATTTTCTGTTTTTATCATTTTTTTTGCGCCACCCTCCCTCCCCCACAATTTTTTATATTTTTACTGTTTTTTTTTGTATTTTCAATTACTGTTTTTTGTTTTTCTGCACCACCCATCTACTCCACCCCAACAATTTTATTTTTTTTTACTTTTTTTTTTTTTTTTTTTTTTTTTTTTTTTAATTTTCAGTTCTGGCTTTTTCATTTTTCAGTTTACAAGTTTGAAATTTTACGAGTTCCAAAGTCATGAGTTCGGAGGTTTATATGTTTGGAAGATTGCGGGTTTAGAAATTATAGAGTTTACATGTTCGAAAGTTTAGCAGTTCAGAAGTTTATGAAGTTTGTGGGTTCGGAAGGTTGTTGGTTCGAAAGTTAATGGCTTCATGTTTGCTGTATCTAAATTATTTATGAATACTCTTGAGAAGTTATTTTCCTTAATTTGTGTAAATTATTTATGGTTCCTAATATTAATTTAATTTTTTTTACTTGTTGAAATAGAAATGAACTATCCTCAGACGACAAAAACAAAACAATTATCAAACCAAAAAAAAGGCAAAAGCAAATAATGGGCTACTGCTGATATAGTAAAAGGGTTTATGCAAAGCTTATAAATAAGGACACAAATTGAGGAGTTGCTCCAACGACTTCTCAGACAATGAGTTGTTTCTGGCACAGACATCCTTTGCACCCGAGTTTATTCTTCAGTTTAGGAGATTGAGAGGGCGTCAATTATTAACTGTTAAGTGAACGTATTACGAGCAGAGGCGGAGCTAGTATTTTGAAGTTTATGGGTTTTACTTATCATCAAACTCATAGCACACCTTAGTTGCTGGGTTCTTAATTAAATAGTTATACATATTTAATAAATTTTTTAATACAAATATAAAGTCTAAACAAAAGTTACTGGCATATATAAGTAGTTCTCTACCTCTGCCTCTGATTACAAGGGTGTTGCCAAGTCAGATTTTTACACGAGATAGACTTCCGAGAGGTGTCTATATGGTCACTGGTCTACAGATGTGCATTGATCAAGATTTGAACATTACGGATTTTGAGTTCAGAATTTTACTACAACTCGTTTGATTTATTGGGTTCACAATCTGTTATTTGTACTTGTTTAGTAAATTTTTTTAACACATAAAAATTCGAGCAAAAGTTAATGAGTTATATATAAACTTGTAACTAAAGCACTACTCCACCTCCGGTGGGATAGTTAAAATATCTACTTGATAATTGGCAAGTTTAAATCTTTATCCATGTATTTCTCCAAACTTCTGGGGTGAACATGGATGGTATTGAGCAAAACCGATATTCATTACAACAATAATTGTTATGTCTCAATTCCAAACAAGTTGGGGTCGGCATCACTCTCAGGGCAAAATACATTCTTCTTTGGCCATTTTCTTTTACCATTTTCTTTTATGCTAGCCCTGGAGTCACCCTATCAGTTGCTTTCTTTGCCTACAAAAAGGATAGAAAAAAGTTGCATAGTTGAAAAGAGTTCCAGTTTGGTAAAGTAAAAATATTTTCACAATCATATCACTTTTATGGTTATTCAAGTAAATCTTTATATGTTCTACTATATATTAGAAACCTAATAAAAATTGTAACTAACCTACTATCGTATTAAATTTTAACTCAAATTCTATATTGTAGAGCTCGCAAAATCGTAACGAACAACATAAATTGAACTGAGCTCTAGAAGTAGGAGAAAAGTAGATTTACCTCTTTGTCCCAATTTTTTCTCAGAATAATTACTAAATAAATCAGCGCTTGAGCCAAAAGGGAGTTTATGATAATCAGAGTGTATTTCAGGATTTTACCCGCCATGAGGATGTCAATACGATATAGTTCAAGAGGGTAATCGAGATTGAGGGCCGTCAAATTTTAAGCCGGAAGAAGACATCCCGATTGTTCCAGTTTGGATTTTATTACCCCAACTACCATTTCACATGCACACTTGGCACTATGTCAAGCAAGTAGCCAGTGAAGTTGGGATTCCATTAGAGATGAATATTGTGACTGCTTGCAAAACCCGTCCTAGTATGGCGAAGGTTAGAGTAGAGGTCGATCTATTGAAACCATTGCCAACTAGTGTCTGGGTAGGATCAGAAGATGAAGAATCTCCATTGAATGGATTTACACAGATGGTGGAGTACGAAGGAGTTCCCAAGTACTGTAAAAAACTCGGACATTTTTTGATCGAATGTAGGGTATTGGAGAAGAAGAAGAAACAGGCAGAACAAAGGGAGTTAGAAAGAATTGAAGAAAAGACACAAGAGGGTAATACAACGGTAGACAAGATGACTGATGAAATCAAAGAGAAGGATAAAATACAGCAGGTTAATCAACAGATAAATAACCCCAGTGATGAGGCAAGTAGCAGAGAAGCAGTCGAAGTAGAAAAGAGGAAAGAGCAGGGAATGGGGAAAGTGAATGAAACCAAGGAAAGACAATATGACAAAAAAGAAGGCCAGCCTGAGAATGCAGAAAGAGATGCAAGTACCAAAATAGAGAATGCAGGAAATGAAGCATTAACCAATGCTGAAAAGATAGAGAGCACAGAAGAAGACAATACTATGAGGAAGAGAACAAGAAGGAAGAAAAAGAGAAATGGAAGTGCAAAGAAAGTTGCTAAAAAGAAACCAAAGGGCAAACATAATGATGGAGAACAGAAAAAGGGCAAAGCAAAGGATCATAGAGAACCTCATCAAGGAAGGGGAACAAGCCAGTCAAGACGAGGATCAAATAGCAGGGACAAGTCACAAAATGGACACTTCCAATAATATAGTTAATGCGGAGAAGAAGATAAACGAAATATCACAAATCAGCTCAGAAGTCCAAGGAAAACTAAAGCAGGTCTCTATTGAAAAATCAGGCAGTAGTATTCAGAGAGTGGAGGAATCTATAATGGAGTCGTCAAACTTAGGATCAGAAATTAAAAACCAGTCGGGTATACAGTTGGTGGTGGATCTTGGAAAATATCAAATGACTCTCCAAACAACAAACAAGGATTGCTCGAAACAGCTTGAGGTGGAATTTTCTAATAACTCGGAAGATGAACAAGTCGACATATTAATTGATGATCAAGAAGATAGTTATCAACAACATCTAAAACATGTGTTGGATAATGAAGGGTTGTCACCTAGAGGAAGAAGCAGAGGCAGAAGCAGAAGTAGGAGCAAGAAAAGTGGAAAAAAAGATAAACTAAAACCCAATCCTCACTTAGAGGGGAGGACACAAAGCCAACAATCCTAACTGATTTGATGATCAGTGAAATATTTTGGAATATAAGGGGAATGAGGTCTCAGAAATCCAATCATAGGCTTAAAAAATTAGTAAGGAAGAATAAGGTTCAGTTTGCTGCTATTTTTGAACCATTTGTTCACAAACAAAAAATAAAAGGATACAAAAGAATCTAGGGCTTTGAACATTGTATATCTAATGATATTGGACAAATATGGTATTTTTGGTCAGAGTATGTGAATGCTACTATGATAAGTATGGATGACCAACAAATGACTCTACAGTTTGAATCAAATAATGATGATGCTAGGATCTTCATAACTGCGATTTATGCTAAGTGTACTGCTGGGGAAAGAAAAGATCTTTGGGAAATTTTGGTGAATACAGAATCACAGATTGATGGTGCATGGTGTATAGGTGGAACCTTGCGAAAAATTGGGAGGCAGACCACATAGAGCCTCAAAAAGCTATGATTTTGCAGAATGTCTTAATCTTTGTGGGGTATCAGATGTAGGGTATGTTGGATCAATTTATACCTTGTGTAATAATTGGTGTCCCAAAACGAGGGTCTGGAAAAGGCTCGATCGAATCCTAACTAATGATTCATGGATCCACACATTTCAGAATACAGTAGTAAGGCATCTCAGTAGATCAGGATCAGATCATAGACCTTTGCTAGTAAAACATAAAGAGGATCAAGCAGACCATATCAAATACTTCAAATTCTTAGACTTCTGGGTTGATCAACCAGGATTCTATGAATTACTACAAGAGGTTTGGGATATGCAGGTGGATGGGAATCCTATGTGGAGACTTCAGCAGAAACTAAAAGCATTGGGCAGGAGACTTAGTAAATGGTCCAGAGAAGACATCGGGGATGTGTATAAAAATGTTGATGAATGGGAGAGGGTAGTACAAAGAATGGAAGAATTGGATCTAAGAAACAATTCAGAACAGTCCAGAACAGAACTGAATAAAGCTCAAGCACAGTATGTACGATGGATGGCAATGCAAGAATCTATGCTTAAACAAAAATCCCAAATAAAATGGTTTGAGGAAAGAGACTGCAATAGTAGATACTTCCACAATGCTATCAAGGATAGAAGGAGAAGATTGCAACTCCACAGAGTGAAGAATCATAGAGGAAGATGGATACATGGGATGAAAAGATATCCAAGGCTGCAGCTCGATATTTTTAGTCCATGTTTAATCTGAATCCTACTATTGTAGATAGTGATGTTATCAGTTGTATTATTGAATGCATTACCATGGAAGACAATGATCTCCTATCAAAAATGGTTAGTGGATATGAGGTCAGAGAGGCGATTTTTGATATGAGTCCAGCAAGTTTAGCAGGTCCAGATGGATTCAATAGCACTTTTTATCATAAGTGCTGGTCAATTATTGCTACGGATGTCATAGAATTTGTAAAGAGTTTCTTCAATGGCAACAATCTTACAAGATTCTATTCTCATACATGTTTGGTTTTAATACCAAAAGTGGAATCCCCATCAACACTTGCTGAATTCAGGCCAATAGGTTTGAGCAACTTTTCTGCTAAGATCATTTCTAAAATATTGGCCAGAAGACTGAATCCATTGTTGCCTAAGCTGATTTCAGAGAATCAAAGTGGATTTGTGAAGGGACGACTCATCACTTATAATGTGCTGCTTACTCAAGAAATAATTCATGGGATATCGGATCCTAATACAGGGGGAAATATGGTGATAAAACTGGATATGGCTAAAGCGTATGACAGAGTATCTTGGGAGTTCCTATTATCTGTCATAAGGAACTTTGATTTCTCTAGCTGGTGGACTGAGATAATTGGTAGGCTGATCTCAGAAGTATGGTACTCGATCATTGTTAATGGCACAAGGAGGGGTTTCTTCACCTCATCTCAAGGCTTGAAACAAGGGGATCGTTTATCCCCATCTTTATTTATCTTAGGAGCTGAGGTCTTCTCTAGATTATTGAATAGACTATATGATGATCAGAGGTTTATTCCATTTTCTATGAACAATAGAGGGCCTAAAATCAACCATCTGGCGTACGCAGATGACATGGTTATATTTTGCGGAGGGAAGAGTAAGTCGATAAAGCTGGTGATGAAGCAGATTAGGCTCTATGAAAAGAGCTCTGGACAGAAAGTGAACGAAGACAAGAGCTTCTTTTGTACGTCTCCAAAAGTATCTATTTCCAGGGATAACATGATGATAGATAAGACTGGTTATAAGCATAAACAGTTTCCTTTCAATTATTTGGGCTGCCTCTTATATATAGAAGAAAAAAGCTGAGTTACTTTGACGAGCTCCTTACCAAGATTATTAAAAGAATCTCTGGTTGGAAATGCAAGCTACTGTCCAGTGGAGGAAAAGCGATATTGATCAAGCATGTACTTCAAGCACATACCTTAGCAGCAATGAACCCTCCTAAGGGCACTCTAAAATTAATGCAAAGGCATTTGGCGAGATTCTTTTGGGGTACAAGCAATGATAAGCAAAGATATCATTGGTCTGCTTGGGAAAATCTATGCTATTCTAAAGAGGAAGGAGGAATTGGAATAAAGAGAATGGAAGCAATTAGTGACTCATTTGCTTATCAAAGGTGGTGGAAATTCAGAACTGAAGATTCTCTATGGGCATCACTCTTGAGAGCAAAGTACTGCTCAAGAGTACATCCTGTAGCTAAAGCCAGTAGCTCAAAACAATCCCATTCATGGGGAAAGTTGATGCAGATCAAGAGGAAAGCAGAACAGAACCTCACTTGGAAAATACAAATGGGCAACAACAATTTAAGGTGGGATAACTGGACAGGAAAAGGAGCATTGGCTGAACTAATTCCATGTCAAGCAAAGTTTGCTAAAGACAAGGTGGAAGATTATATTCAAGGAGGTACATGGAATGTTATGAAGTTAGCAAAGATCATACCTGTACACATTATTAGCCAAATTACCAAATTAATGATTGGAGATAAAAATACACAAGACTATGCTATTTGGGACCCTGCAGCAGATGGACAATTTTCAACCAAGTCGACTCATCACCTTACTAGAACTCCAAGGCAGAAGGATCAATTCAGGTATAAGTTTTGGCACCCAAATCTTCCTTTTAAAATATCATTCTTGGCTTGGAGATTGATACAAAGGAAGCTGCCATTTGATGATACCATGAGAATTTTTGGAGGTAATGTTGTATCCTAGTGTGTCTGTTGCAATGATACAAAGAGGGAGACTTTTCAACATGTATTTCTGGAAGGTGATGCTGGTAACAGAATGTGGAAGAAATTAGGTGGACCTTTGGGCATTGATGTTAATGCTATATCTATTAACAACATGCTAAGGAAATGGTGGAAAATTAAACCGAAGAATGGGGTACATAAAATGGTGTTACACATCACTCCAATTGTGATTGTATGGGAAATTTGGAAACACGGATGCACCTGTAGATATGGGGAACAGAAGAAAATGTGGCAGAGAACCATGGAACACCAGATTTGGTAGATAATTAAGATGACGATGGGAAGAACTTTTAAAAATTGTGACTTTGGGAATTCATGGATGGAACTATGTGGAATAGTTGAAAGATTTAAACCAACTCCTAAATGGAAGATTGTTAAGTGGTTGAGACCCCTTGAAAACAGAGTCAAGATCAACAGTGATAGCAGCTTCTCAGAAGGAAAAGCAGGAATAGGGGGGTTGTTAGAGACCATACATGTGGTATGATTATGGCATACTCAATCCCAGTTGTATGCTCTAGTAACAACCCGACAGAAGCACAAACAGCCCTCTTTGGTGTCCAAAGTGTCTGCAACATGGTTATGTAAATTGCGACTTGGAAATGGACTCACTAGTAATAGTAGATATGCTGAAAAACAGTCACTCAACTAACTTGAAACTGAAGGATTCAATTGATGCATTAAGGCAGACTATTCTCCAGCTAAATTGCACAGTATCTCATTATTTTAGAGAAGCGAACCAGAATGTTGATAGCTTGGCGAAGTTTGCAGCTGGATTAGTTGATCCTTGTATGTATTTTGACTAGTGTTGTTTGCCTAGAAGTGTAGTAGGATCTTACCAGCTAGATATAATGCAGCTACCTAGCATTAGGCTATGGTATGACAAGGCAAATTTTTTTGTAAACTAAGGTTTTTGTTATAGTTACTATAGGTTAAGGTGAAATGTACCTTGGCCTACTTTGGGAGTGTTGGCAGATGCCACACTGTTTTTTGGGAGATAATATATGAACACCCAGCAAAAAAAAAAAAAAAGCAACAGAAAGGGTGACTCAAGAATCAACATAGAATCTCTCATGTATCATTGCTTAGAATAGTTGAATGTGATGATTTAGATTTTAGTTCAATGGGCTTTGTGTTTGTTTAGGAAGGTCTGATTTTGTGTTTGCCAAAACAAAATTCCTTCCATGTCTTGTGTTCCTAATATTAATATAAGTTTTTTTTTACTTGTTGAAATAGAAATGAACTATCCTCAGACAAAAACAAAACAATTATCAAACCAAAAAAAGTCAAAAGCAAATAATGAGCTACTGCTGATATAGTAAAAGGGTTTATGCAAAGCTTATAAATAAGGACACAAATTGAGGAGTTGCTCCAACAACTTCTCAGACAATGAGTTGTTTCTGGCTCAGACATCCTCTGCACCCGAGTTTATCTTCAGTTTAGGAGATTGAGAGGGCGTCAATTATTAACTGTTAAGTCGGCGTACCACGAGCAGAGGCGGAGCCAGTAGTTGAAGTTTATGAGTTTTATTTATCATCGAACCCATAGCACGCCTTAGTTATTGGGTTCGCAATTAAATAGTTATACATATTTAATAGATTTTTTAATACAAATACAATGTCTAAACAAAAGTTACTGGGTTCGTCAGAACCCGTAAGTAGTTCTCTACCTCCGCCCCTGATTACAAGGGCATTGCCAAGTCAGATTTTTACACGAGACACACTTCCGAGAGGTATCTATATGGTCACTGGTCTACAGATGTGCATTGATCAAGATTTGAACATTACGGATTTTGAGTTCCGAATTCTACTACAACTCGTTTGATTTATTGGGTTTATAATCTGTTATTTGTACTTGTTTAGTGAATTTTTTTAACACAAAATAATCAGAGCTAAAGTTAATGAGTTATATATAAACTTGTAAATAAAGCACTACTCCACCTCCGGTGGGATAGTTAAAATATCTACTTGATAATTGGCAAGTTTGAATGTTTATCCATGTATTTATCCATGGATGGTATTGAGCAAAACCGATATTCACTACAACAATAATTGTTATGCCTCAATTCCAAACAAGTTGGGGTCGGCATCACTCTCCGGGCAAATTACATTCTTCTTTGGCCATTTTCTTTTACCATTTTCTTCTATGCTAGCTCTGGAGTCACCCTATCAGTTGCTTTCTTTGCCTACAAAAAGGATAGAAGAAAGTTGCATCATTGAAAAGAGTTCAAGTTTGGTGAAGTAAAAAATATTTTCACAATCATATCACTTTTAAGGTTATTCAAGTAAATCTTTATAAGTACTACTATATATTGGAAACCTAATAAAAATGGTAACTAACCTACTATCATATTAAATTTTAACTCAAATTCTATATTGTAGAGCTCGCAAAGACTAGCAAATAGAGAAATCGTAACGAACAACAGAAATTAAACTGAGCTCTAGAAGTAGGAGAAAAATAGATTTACCTCTTTGTCCCAATTTGTTCTCAGAGTAATTACTAAATAAATCAGTGCTTGAGCCAAAAGGGATAGAGTGAGTCCCAACCAGAGTCCCTTTAGACAACATCAGAAAAATATGAATATCATTAGATTTGTTAAAAAGACTAAAAAAATGCAAATAAAATGAAATACATAAAATGAGTACCTTTCCTCCAACATGGTATACAAAAGCTAATAAAATACCAGCAGGAATTCCCCATAGGTAATAAGCTCCCAAATTAACAATTGCACCTATCTTTTGCCAACCACACCCTCTAGCAATACCTGAATTTTGCATATAAAATTTGCATTATTAGCAATATGAGATTATATTGTTGAAAAATGGCTAAAAGAAACTTTATTCTGAGGATTTGAACAAACCTGAAAGTACAGATTGATTTGCATCTATGAAGTGTGATCCTGCTACAAACATTAACATTTCCGCTACATACGTTACTACTTCTTCCTCATTGCTATAACAATGGCCCCATAATTTACGAACCGAAATGATGAATATTGCTATTATAATTCCTTCTGCAGTAGCTAAAAGTAGTGCAGTATATGCTGCTACACGAGCTGCTTTTGGTCGTCCAGCACCTAATTCATTCGATACTCTTATGCTGAGGAAGAAAACCAAAGTATGAAAAATAGTAAGGTAGTGTCAACTGTGAAAGAATATTGAGAAGGAAAATGTGTAAGTATGAAATTTACCTTGTAGCACCACTTAGTCCAAAAGGCAACATATATATCATAGTAGATGTATTAAGGCTGTAAATAGCAAACAACAATAACATTAGGCCGGGCGAAATATGATAAAAACAAGAAGTTGCATGTGATAATAATGTGTTAAATAACTAACCAGATGGAAAGAACTGAGGTTTCTAGTTTTGGATTAGGAAGAAGACCAGATAACAGAACCATCATTTCAAATGACCAACTCTCCAAGCTAAATCCATGCCAAAAAACTAAAAAAGGTGAATTCATTTATTCAATGGAATTATATATCCATGCATTATTATTTTATAGAAGTAAATGAGTATTACCAAAGCATAACGGCTGAAGGAATAGCTAGCCTGAGATATCTCGGGATATCAGAAAATGCTTTGGCTGAAAATCCAGTCCAAGTATTTTTGCAAGAAGGCGATATCATAATATATGCAGCTAACAAGAACACATTTATCCAGTAAGATGTAGCATTAGCTAGAGCCGCGCCTTTGTTGCCAAGGCCGGTTTTAAGCACGAGAATCCAACAACTGAAAAAATGCAGCAAAGTAGTGACTCCTGCAGTTAACATCATAGGGAGGACATTGTTTTGAGCTTGTAGAAACCTAATCTGACATTGTAGTAGTCCATAGGCAAAGAGACTCGGTATCATGAAACGTGCATAATTTCCTGCTTCGGCTGCTATTTCCGGAGTTTGTCCCAAGATTACAAGAATATGTCCTGCATTTGCCCAAATGTAGGCTAAAGGAATGCTGACTAAAAGAAGAACAATCATTGCCCTTTGCATATAAATACCAAGCATATGATATTGTTTTGCTCCATATGATTGACCACAAATTGTATCCAATGCACTTCCCATTCCCATCTGATCAAGCAAAATAGAATCCAAAATGCAGATATCAAAAGATAAATTCTTTTTAAAAGAATGACCAACTGTTAATGAAATAAACTTATATAAACTGCATTAAAGAAAATCTGATATCATCTTACTGAGAAGGTTAGGCATTTCTTCATGCTTATTACTTTCATCCTCTTGTGTCCACTTTTTAACCATATTTTTTCTTACCAAATATATACAAAAGCTTTAGCTAATTTTAGTAGAAAACATAATTATAAAGAACAATTCATGAACCCCCTTTGGAATATTTGAAGTCTCGTGTTAATACACAATACATAGAGGGCGTTTAGGTATGGTTATAAGTTGGTCGAACTAGCTTATAAGCAGCAAATTTTGGATTATTTGCGCCAGGGACGGATTTAGGGGGGCGAAAGGTAGCCGGAAATTTACATGGCAAAATCTGTTTTGTATCTCTATAAATTATATTTTAAATCTCCTTGACACAGTCCAAAAGCATAGCTCAGGGATCAAGGGGTAAAGTTGCTTGTTCTATTTTCACTGGCCACAGTCTCTTTTAATTTTTTAACTTTTTTCTTTGAACCCCTCAGTAGAAATCGTGCCTCCGGTACTGATTTGCGCATATAATAAACACCAAAGTAAGATAAGCCAAAAGCCGTGGATATAAAAAGATGTGAAATATATGACTAAAAAAAGACTTACCAACAAGCTGAAACCAGTAACAGTGGCAAAAGAAGTAGCCATTGAAGCACCAGAAAGCGCTAATTCTCCAAGATGACCAATAAACATTACAGAAATAACCTGTAAACAATATAACAGAAGATTTACTGACATTAAAGGCCCTGCTAATCCCAACAACTTCTTCACTTCTTCAAAAAACTCATCACATTTTCTCTTGTTTTTTGATTCCTCATTTCTTGACTTTGATATCAGTGCACACTCGATGTCTATTTCCCTTTCTTGAATATCCATTTTCCTTCCTCAAACCTTGCCTTCACAAAACGCAAAAAATGGCTAAAACTGAAAGGTTGAAAAATCAAACATTTTCAAGATTGATTCCTTTTGGCAGAATGTTGGCATTTTTCGTTTTATAATAAGCAACTAGTAAAAAAGAAATGAAACAGGATATATTTAAGTAAAGATCTTTTTGCACTTTTTGTCATCTCTATGATAAAACGTTTGGAATCATAAGTAAAGACAAATTTATAAAAAAAATCTTTCTTATGTAGGGGCAGACATAAGATAGAAATAGAATTCTTTGTAACAAAGCTGACAACGTTGTCCTAATGGATAAAATATAACATCTTCGTATAAATAATAAAATTGTATCTAATCATACACTTAGTTGATACTTTATGAAAGAGACATAATAGACATACCGTTTAACTCTACAATTCAACAGTCACAGTATTACTAGTAACCCCTAACAAAGTACTCAAAGAGAAATATTATGATTATGGGTTATTAGATAACCAAGGAAGGAGAATTCGCACTATTTATTGAGAGATCTTATCCATCACACGTCTCTATAAACGTGCATTGCCACATCGTCTATAGAAATAGAAAAATTTTAACCGCGTTACTATTCAAAAAATATTTAGTTGAGCTATATTTTGGGCCGGGGGGACATGGCAATAGATATAGCAAATTTTGTCATATAGCCCTCTTTAAACTCAAAAGGAAAGAATCATAGCTGTTCAAATGATGTCAAAAATTGAAGCTTTACAAGGAAAGCTAGTATTATACTATGGTATTAACTTGCAAAATCAAGAATGGTAACAGTAGGTTCTAATGATTTAGTTACTTATGCATATTTGGTATTTATCTTGCATTATATTTAAATAGTGTCAGGCTATTATATATCCACGTATTACTCCTTTTAAAAATATTCTTACATATATACATATATATTTTTCCCAATGACGCTAGTTGATTGGAGCTATCTGTGCCACTATAATAAAGGAAAGACCTCTAGGTGTTTTTTCCTCATTTGCTAAGTCTTGATGGGTAGAGTTATTCGGTAGCGGAAGATAGTAGATATTTGTTGTAAATTAACTTATGATGCCCTATCTTAATAGAGAACTTTCAGTACTAGGAATAATGGAAACCTGGATTAGATACAGAAGGGCTAATTTCCAAAACAGAAAATGTTGCCCTGAGACTGCTATGGTAATTATAAGTTATAAAAAACAATGATCAATTTCTTTGAACAATCAGAACTGCTTTTCAGGATTTATAGTTGCCTCAAAATGTTAAATATATAACATTATCTTGTGGTTAACATAGTACAAGGCAAAAAACGCTTGGCGATTTCTTCCCATTTGTTTAAGCCTTGGTAGCCGCCTAAACTTTGATGATAGAGTTACTCGATACCTGTGTTGGTGGAAGATAACAGGTACCCGGTGGAATAGTGGCCTAGACACCAACGCCATAAAAACTAAAAAAATAGTGCGAGGCAAGGACCTTCAAGATTCTATTCCCAAGATACAAAGGCAAATCCTGAAAAATTGTTGTATCAATTCATAACCAGTCAAATTCCATGTCACAAGCTCAAGAGTGCCATCTCAAAGCTAAGAGATCTTCAGAATTGATGTAAGTTAGTCAATTAGCCAACTTGATGCCAAGAAGAATTACATGAACTTGTAAGTATCTTGCCATATTATGTCATTCTGTATTTTCTTCTATGTTAGGTAGCTCTGAAGTCACCCTATCAGCTGCCTTCTTTGCCTACAAAACATAGAATTAGACTTGCATTATTACTATTTTTCATACAACTCAACTTTTAAAAGAACAAATCAACCACTAGCTTGACTTGTGATCTGTGTTGAGACATAATATAATTAAGTAAACAAAACTGTGTTCTCCCTAACAGTTTAAACTTTTACATGAGTTGATAACACAATTCAACAATCTAGCTGAGTTACCAAAGAGTTTTACCTGTTTTTCCCAATTTGTCTGCAGAGTAACTATTAAAAGAAGCAGTGCTTGTGCAAAAAGAGCAAGAGTGATTCCTAACCAAAGTCCCTGAAAAACCATATCATAAGTTTTTCGACTAGTTCCAAAGCCAGAAATGCCAAGAAATGAGAAGCTCAAGGGAATACCTTTCCACCAAAATGGTAGACAAAAGCTAATATAACACCAGCAGGTATCCCGAAAAGGTAATAAGCTCCCAAGTTGACAATTGCCCCTATCTTTTGCCAGCCACATCCTCTTGCAGTACCTGAATTATGGTACGCGATAAGGTCATATAGTCATTTAACTCCAGTGACGGATCCAACATGGGTTTATAGGTTCGGCATAACTCAGTGTTTCAGGGTTGAATCAAATATATATATATATATATATGTGTGTGTGTGTGTGTGTGTGAGAGAGAGAGAGAGAGAGAGAGAGAGAGAGTGTATGTGCGAAACAAGTGTAGAAAGAGTTAGATATACAATTCAAAACATACTTTCTTGACACAGGACCTAGGACGTCTAAATTCTGGATCCGCTACTGTTTAACTCTCCTTTAAGATTAAAGATGCTGGTATTTTGGATAAACAATGAAGAAAAATTGATTATCCTAGCAGAGCAAATGAAACAACTTGAACTGCTGCATTAGCTCTTCTCAATTTCAATTTGGCTAATCATCTGTTATACCCTCAAGCCTTGTTTTGACAAATCAAGAAAGGGGAATCTTAGTAGCTCAGTTGGTTAGCTATTTCAACTTTCACCTAGTTGGTGACAGATTGAATACCATCTAAGAAGTGGGATCCTGCTAGCAAGACTAGCATTTCTGCTACATATGCCACCACTTCTTCCTCGGTGCTATAACAATAGCCCCAAAGTTTACGAACCAAAATCAGAACTATTGCTGCAACGACGCCTTCTGTAGCCACCAAGAATACCGCAGTGCAAGCTGCTAAACGAGCTGCTTGAGGTCGTCCTGCACCTAGTTCATTTGAAACTCTTATGCTGAGAAGAAATTAAGGCAATTAAGTATACAAACTAGTGAAGAAGCATATAAAGGAAAATGTAACCGAAGGGATCTAAAAGTGTTAGAAAAATTCACCTCGTAGCACCACTTAGTCCTAGAGGTATCATATACACCATCGCGCATGTATTAAGGCTGAAATATTTAAGAAGTAGCAAATTTTTTATGAAACAAGATGTTCAGCTTGATATTAGCATGTCTGAGCTTAGGTAGTCCAACCTGATAGAAAGAACTGACGTCTCCAGCTTCGGATTTGGAAGAAGTCCAGCCAACAGAACCATCATTTCAAACGACCAAATCTCTAAGCTGTGACAAAGACAAGCACATGGTTTGATTCATTTGATCATTTTGAAAGGACGAATATATGATTTACATACGATTAAGAACACTACCAGAACATAGCAGCTGAAGGAATCGCAAGTCTTAGATATTTCCAAGTATCTTGAAATGCTTCTTTTGAAAATCCAGACCAAGTGCTTTTACAAGAAGGCGATATTCTGACATATAAAGCTAGCAACAAGAAATTAATCCAGTAGGATATCGCATTAGCCAGAGCAGCACCTTTGTTGCCTAGGCCAGATTTAAAGACCAGAATCCAACAACTGAATAAATGCAGTAAAGTAGTGATTCCGGCACTGAACATCATGGGTAGCACATTGTTTTGTGCTTGTAGAAATCTAATATGACACTGGAGAAGCGCATAGGCAAAGATAGATGGAATCATATAGCGTGCGTAACTTCCTGCTTCAGCTGCTATTTCTGGATCTTGTCCCAATAATACAAGAATATACCCTGCATTAGCCCAAATACAGGCAAGCGGAACACTGGCTAGTAGAAGAACAAGCATTGCCCTTTGCATATGGATACCAAGCATATGATACTGCATTGCGCCATATGATTGCCCACATAAAGTGTCCAATGCACTTCCCATTCCCATCTGCTCAAGCAAGATAAAAATTGAAATGTAGCGATGATAAAGCACCGTTTAACTTGGTATCAAATAACTAAAGAGGTAAGTCTATGCACTACAATTAAAGCCATATTAATCAAAAGCTATCCTATATGTTCCCAAAGGGATAGTTAGGTGGTTGAAGCATATGAGTCACAACTTGAGATTTCAGGTCTGAATCCTAGCTGTGACGCTCATTGTTAGTCCATCTGATCCAACCTTGGTGGGCAGGATTACCTGACACAGGTGCTTGTGGACTATAACGGGCTGCTCGGTTGATTAGTCGAGGTACGTGCAAGTTGACCCCGTCATAATCGTTATTAAAAAGGGGCATCTAGTACAAGCCTCATCCAAAAATTTAGTGTATTTTTAAGGATCTAAATGAAGTGCTTTGTGACCTTGTTTTGACATGACGCGTTAAGGTGAATGAACAATCCATATAACATTTTGTCGAAACAACCATTTAATAACAGATCATCTAGAAAAATGATCTTCAACTAATGCAAAATGCGTTTCCTCGAGCACCAGGAGCACTTTCTAACTGGCTACCATGGGAAAACAACCATTTTGATCTTTTCTTGACCTTTGTTTTTCTTTTCACTAGTTCTTTACTTGTCTTATGGGAAGGGGAGCCTTGGAGCAACCAGTGGCGGAGGTAGGATTTCCGCTAAGGGGGTTCAAAAACGAAAAAAGTTTACAAAGATTGTAGCTAGTGAGAATTGAACCAATGACCTTACAAAGGTTTTGAACCCCCTTGACCACTAAGCTATGCTTTTAGGCTGTGTCAAGGGGATTCAAAACATAATATATAGAGGTAAAAATCAGATTTTGTCTTATATACAGAGTGTAAATTTTCGGCGAAGGGGATCCGCCCCTGGGAGCAACAGTAAAGTTGTCTCCGTGTCACCTGTAGGTCACAGGTTCAAGCCGTGGAATCAGCCACTGATGCTTGCATCAGGTTAGGTTGCATACATTACACCCCTTGGGGTGCAGCCCTTCCCCCGACCCCTGCATAAATGCGGAATGCTTCACGCATCCGACTGCCCTTTTTTTTTTTAAAAAAAAAAAAAATCTTATGCTAAAGAATCATTACCAAAGAATGATAGTCTAAAGGTTTTTACACTATAAGGTCACCATAAAGGAAAAAAAGTAAAGGACTAACCAACAAGCTGAGACCAGTAACAGAGGCAAAGGAAGTAGCCATAGAAGCACCAGAAAGAGCTAACTCTCCAAGATGACCAACAAACATGATAGATATAACCTGTAAACAATATAATAGAAAATTCACAGACATAAGTGGCCCTGCTAATACCAACAGCTTCTTCACTTCTACCAAAATCTCATTTCTTCTGTTCTTAGATTCTGTAATCAATGGACTCTCAAGATCTAGTTCCCTCTCTTGTATATCCATTTTCCTCTCTCAAGTCTCAACTTGTCCCAAATCGGAGGGATTTGAGGTCCTTGGTCTTGGGTAATCCTCCCCTCGTAAACTAACTTTTGGGGTTATGTTAGGCCCAAGTTCATGTATCAGCTTGCCTGTGCACTGCGCAATCGGATACAGAGTTTGGCTGCCAGGTTCATCTCAACGTGGAAAATAAATTTATACGTAAAAATTCATTAAAATTACAACAAACGGTAAATCTAAACGCATTACTTTGAAAATACAACGGGTTCAATGCTAAAACCCTTAAAAGTTGAACCTATAGAATCTAAATCCTAAATCCGCTCCAAGAAATTAAGTATATAATATCAATGTCGGAAAATGAAGTTTGCAACAACCCAAGCTGCAGCCTTAAAAAGCTTATCCAGTCTTACTTTTTAGCTTACCAGTTTCGTTAGACCTGATCTTGAAAACATGTATAGAAGTTAAACTATCTTATAAAAGAGAATTTTCACACTTTCACATCACGTATAACCCATAATTAATAAGCTAAAAATAAGACAAGTAATCTAATGTAACAGATTAAAATACAGTGACAAGTAAGATCCTGATTAATAATGTGGTAGGATTTGCTTAAAAAACGACAATAAGACAGGAGACCAAGTCCCAACAACTTGCTGATTTTACCACTTTTCAAGATTGACTTCTATTATAATTTAATTTTCTTTTCGTCTTTTTGCTCAGAAATATCAAATTAAGTCATTACACTTCTACATTTGACACCACATAGGCAGTCAGGGGCAGAGCTAGAAGTTTATATATGGATTTGGCAAAATTCAGTAGAGATATATATATATATAT